AGTTTTGGCATGACATCCTGCTACTAAAACTAGTATGTAAAGCTGCCCTTTAGCTAATCTAATTTCAGTAAATGATGTTGCTTTTTATAGTTACTTTTAGTCCTTCTATACAAGCTTGTACAGGTGTTTGGAGCCGCAGTAGAAACTGATCCCCGTTCCTCTCCTCTTGTTTCAGGCGTACACCGAAGAGCTGGTAGACCTTCATCGCAAGCTAATGGCATTAAGAGAGCGTAACGTTCTACAGCAGGTGGGTGTTTGCGTGTGATTTAAAATAGCCTGCGTTTGTGTAAAAGCTTTGAACAAACACCACTGACCCGTTTCCTGCCTCCAGATCGTGAACCTCATCGAGGAGACGGGCCACTTTAATGTCACCAACACAACTTTTGACTTTGACCTTTTCTCATTGGATGAGTCAACTGTCCGTAAACTACAGAGCTACCTGGAGGCCACCGCCACATGACAGGAAGTCCATCAAGGCTGCGGGGAGGGGGGGAGGCTGCCCTTTTTCACCTCTTTTGTCCTGAGAGAGGGCTACAAAAAGGTGAAAATTGTTCACAGGAAATGAAAACAGTGGGGAAACAAATCACGAAAAGGAGTGAATCATACAGTATTTTGAGGAGGAAGTGCAGCTATGTGGCGTCTCGACTGCAAACCAACACTACAACACTTCTTCTCTCCTCCTCAATATCCTGTTGGACAGGAAGATCTCTTCTTAACGGGGCCAGAACTGCTAGAGGGTCATATTCCAAATCGGCTGAAAAAAAAAAAAAGTCTCTCTGTAGCCATACGCACTGATGCATCAAGGGTTGCAACCTTTTATATTTTATTTTTGTACCAATGTTTTTCAAGGTATTTTTGATTGATTGTGGTCGGAAAAGGAAGCCCCACACGCCATGAATGTATCGCTTTTTATCCTCTAGGGCTAGTCTTAGTGCCTTTTTCACACCATCTCATTTGTGCTCTTAGCAATTACAGCAGTGTTATCTTTCACTCCGACTTTAGTCAGTCCTTCTGTGTGTGTGGGATACCTGGATATCGTCCCGGGGAGATTCCGATTTGTATGCCAATATGCATCAATCCTCATTTAGGTGTTCGCCAAACGGGCCTTAGAACTTAAATGTTGTGCATTGCTAGTGCAGCTTGTGAGAGTATTTGGAAGTCTGTGTTGGTCTCTGTGTTTTCTGTCATCATATCTGGTTTATTCATTAGACTAAGCGGGAGAGACAAAAGAAAAGGACAAGACAAGCTGTTTTTCTCTCAGTGGCCCCTACCAGAACAGCAGTCTGTAGATTCACTGTGCTTCTGACTCCGTCTCTCTCTCTCTCTCTCTCTCTCTCTCTCTCTCAGAGCGACTACATCTCGGCTTCACTTCGCCTCTGTGTGTCCATTCTTATGCTAATAGCTTTAAGAGGCTCCGTGGCCTGAGCTGCAGACCACATGCCCTTAACTTCACCCTTCAAGAGTCTGGGAGTGTCGTTTGCATGGGCTTTAAATCTTCAACTGATTCGTCGTCTGAATCTTAGCGAACAATAACGTTTATAACTTTGAAACGATTTGAGATGTTTGTGCGTTTTTCAGCAAGAGAATGATTGAGTGTTATGTGCGTGAACTTTTAACTCCCAGCTCTTGTTTGGTGAACTTTAACCTTTGACCGGATACTGGTTCGGGTCAGCCTGTCATAAAGGGGTGGGGCAAGAGGCAAAGGGGTGGAGTTAGGTGAACTTGAGTGGCGGCTCTGAAAAGACATCCCACTGAGTACACCCAGGTTTTTGTTTTTTATATATATATATATTATTTTGAGGGGGTTATTTTTTTTATTTATGTACCTCTGCACTTTTGGCTTTGTTGACTCAAGTACTTAATTGTCTAATCTGTATTTTTAAGAATTTTATACAATATTTACATGCAATATGATATTAATTTGTCAATTGTTTTGTGTCAAGAATTGCCAGTTTTTTAAGGAATTTTTAGTTGGGTTTTTTTTCCTCTGTATCAGCACATTATATCATGATAGACTGTAAAAGTGACCATAAGAACTTGAAACTTACTTCAGGCCAATATATGAGTTCGTGGCAGGGTGTGTTTGCATATCAGATGAGTTTCTACTAGCATCTGTTTTGTTGTAGCCTCATTATTATCCACTACAAGGGGGGACTGCATATTTGCGAAACGAACAAGTGTTTGTGAGTTTATTAATGTATTTGATTTAAACCATGCTGAAAAAGTCTTAAGCTAGTTTGCTGGTCTTAGAGGGGTTTTTGGGTACTTGTTAGCCAATTCATCCCTCTAAGACCAGCTAGTTTAAGCTGCTGCTTCTTTTCCCAGAAGGAAAGTGAAGAACCTCTGTATTTTGTACATGGGATGCAGCAAAGAACACTAATGAAGGGGCATTTCACCCATTTTACGTAGACACACATGTACAGTAGACGGTCGGAATCTTATCTACAGGAGCTGGAGGAAACATTAATCGACGGTTACTACTGCATCATTTTCACATACTTCGCTTGCAGCTGCAGAGAGCTGTCTTGTCAGTGGTGGTTTTATTTGTGTTTGTGAGCGCGGAAGGACTTACTGTATTTATCCGTGGGGTTTGGGGAGGTCTGGGTTTTTACATATGTTTTGATAACGTGGTAGAAAACCTTCCTTGATCTGAACAGAAGAGTAACCCTTTAGTATGACGTGTTAAACTTGACATACAATGCCACCATGTGGTCATATGATGCAAGTTGTAATAAGGGCAAAAGATGTTACTTTTTATGTTTTTATTGCAAAGTCATATTATGAATAAAGTCATTTGAGTACTGTTCATAGTATCGTATTATGTTACTTAAGTTGTTCCAAACGCGTATGAGTTTCTTTCTTCTGTTGAACACACAACTTTTTTTTTTACAGTCTATGACACCAAAGATATTTTGAAAATATTAAAATTTGTTGGTAACGGTAGCCACTGACTTCAATAGTAGGAAAAATATACGATGGAAGGCTATGGCTACTGTCAACTGTTTTTGGGTGAACTATCATATTATTTTTAATTCCAGGTTAAGCTGTTTTACAGGTAAATTTTATTCGAAAAAACAGTAATATTGTGAAGTGTTATTACAATTTAAAATAACTCAATGTAATTTATACCTTATATCCAGTCTTCGGTGTCACATGATCCTTCAGAAATCATTCTAATATGTTGAAACATTTCTTATTATTATTATCAATGTTAAAACCATCGAAAATTAAAAAACAATAACAGCAAATATTTCAAGTAGAAATATTTATAACATTATAAATGCTGCTCCTTTTGATCAGTATAATATTTCCTCATTAATTTATATTTTAAAAAAAAACTTTATATCTTTATATGACTTTAGATGCAAAAGCCTCTAAGTCCTAAAGTTTTTGTTTAATATTAACATTTTATCAGGCTCCTATGTATAGGTTTCTACCCAAGTACCGGCATTTCTGAATGGGCTGAGGCTGGGATTTAGTGAGTTTGAAGTGAAAGTATTTGATGAATGTATACTATGTGTAGAGAGCATTCACTCTCTACACATGAATGTTTACACATTATCTCATTTTTCACAGAGGTGGCTTTTAGAGGCTTTTGCATCAGAGGTCTTCATATCCTCTTGTTGTTCTTGTCTTAGAACAACCTTGATGAACTATTTTTGATCCACTTCAAATGTTGACATATATATATGTTTTTAACCCAGGTTTATGAAGCCCTGATCTATATTGTGGTTAACATGGTGAAATGACAATTTCAACTACAAACCCATAAATTGATCTAATTTTTAAATGTATGATCTTGTCTTTTTAATCTGATGCTAAAAGAATCATACAACATTATGAGAAGCACAGCAACATCCCAAAAAGCATTTACTGTATTTCACTGAATTTGTAGGCTATACTTCAGCGTTGGGGAGTTACTAGTTACAGTGTTACGTAATTAACTGTAATCAGTTATTTAGAAAAAATGTGTAATTAAAGTAGTTACTTATGAAAATATTAGCAATTACAAAGGTGGTTACACCTGAATATTTTCTGTAAAAAGCTAAGATATGTTGAATAATATTAATTTGTTGCTTTGCCTGTTTTTAATGTGTACGAAGCCTCCTGCCATAAAGGCCGTTCAGTAGAGATGCTCTTGTGTGAAATTGCAGTGCTATTTTTTGAATTTGCATAAATGTTTGAATTTGCTGATTAACCCTGCCTGGTTTAAATGTTTGAAAATGATTAACAGTTGAAAACATTCGTTGGAAATTTAGAAAAGTAATCAGTTACATTAATCAAATAATTTAAATAGTTTTACTAATTATATTTTAAATAGAGTAACTTTTAATCTGTAACCCATTACATTTCCAGTTGGGAAGTAACCTTCCCAATACTGTGCACAAGTCTTGCCAGCTGTGAGCCATTACTGATCCTAGTGACCAATGAAACTATTTATCCGAAGTTGAAGAATGAGCACTTTAACACTTGATCATGGTTATAGTACATTTATTGTCCAGTAAAATATTTTCACACATACAAGTAGAAACCTGGAGTTCCATCTCCCAAGATCAACTAATCCAGTTTCAACAGACACAACACACGACTAATTGTCACCCAGCTCAAGAGTTTTTTTTAGAGTCAGGTAAAACCAGTCAAGTCTTTCACAGTCTAAGACTTCATGTTACTGTATGTTCCCGTTTCCAAATGAGCTGCCCTTCAAGCTCTAGATCAGACTTGCATTAAACTGTTACAGTATTTTTGTCTAAAAAGAAACTTGTGTTTTCTTGTTTATAAAAGGCAAATGGATTTTTGAAAAAGAATAAGTTTAAACCATAATAAAAATCCCAGATAGCAGGAAATCCCTCACTAGCTCTACCTTCATTCTCACCTATTCTGACTGAGCGAACAACTTGTCTCATTTCATGCACAATTTACTAGCAGTCTTTCTTATTTACAAAAAGGCCTCGCTGTGGTCATGCTATGCAGTCAGAAAACACACACTTTGGAGTAACAGGTCCAGTATTTGAGGAAAGCTCTCTAGTGTGATAAAACTATTTAGAGGTAAGATCAATCTTTGGATTTGCATTAAGTAATTTGCGGTTACATTTTTGTATATGCGAGCACTTGACTGATTAAATAGAATGTTAGTCCATTTAATCTAGTTATCAATCCATATTGGTTTTCTAAATTGCATTATAATAATTTTACTATGCATACAAAATAAATAAAATCAATTACATATTTGGTCAAAATGTCCTTATTGCACATGCAAAGCAAAGAACACTGCAAGTCAAATGATCACCTCTGAACAGATCGATTTCTCACACCAGATCCTTCATGCCCCGTATTTCACAAGATAAATATTCACCGCTTCTCTCTGTCCAGATATCAATGGCAGGAAAATGGTTTTGCTACTTTGAGGATTGTCACAATGACACAGCAAAGCATTAAGTAAGACCACAGAAGAAGAGGAAATTAATGCAATACGTATTTACACTATTTAACAGGTTAATTGTTTTTTTTACAAAATATTAAACGACAATATTAACCAACTGCATAAGTGAAACAAACATTCAAACTAATGTGATGCATTTGGTTCTGAAAAACGAGCAAACAAAAACATTTATGGCTTGTATGGCATGGGGTTCCTGCTAAATAATCTTCACAGAGCAAAGTCTTGAGGATGTTCCTCCGCAAACATCTAGTTTCCGTTAAACAACCAGTGTTTTTGGTGGCACTTGTTCACAGCAGTGCCGTTGACAAACGAGCACTACCGCCCAAAGCTATTCTCAAAGAATTCAGTCACTCCTGATGCGCAAGTTAGCTATTAAGATTTATCAAACTTTGTTGATAAATTTAACCATAAATTAATCTCTGTATCACCTGCACTTACATATTAAATCAACAACATGACTCAAAAGACACTTCATTATAATTAGGCAAGAAAAATAAATAGTAAACCACACACACAAAAAAATGGCTTTGTTACAAACATGTTTTCCTTCTTTCAGTAATACAGAAAAATGTAAACAGTATGAAATTAACAATTAAAAAACCCTGAACGCATATTAACTCAAAAATGAGGCAAAACACAAGGTCTGAGTGGTGTTCCTATGTAAGCATGTGTGTGTTAGACCATGTCAGTCTCTTTGTCTCCGGATCTGAAGTGGATGACAAGGGCTTTTGTTGGGCACCTATTTAGGAGGCAGAGGGTTGTCTGGGGTGGTTGGGGTCACGACTTCTTTGTAAAAGCTCTCAATCTGCTCTTTGTACATCTTCATGACCACTGGCCTCTTGAGCTTCATCGTGGGCCCTGAGATTGAGTTTAAAACAGTTAAACAAACAACCTATTTACATCTTAATCAATAGAATTACTAACAAAACCCAGAAATAACTCCCAGACAGTTGATTACAAAGAAACTCACCCAGTTCTCCTCCAGGGATAGAGAAATCTTGATCCAACACGGTCCATTTCTGGATGCGCTGGGCGTTAGAGGTGGCTTTCTCATTGACACGGGTGATGGAGTCTTGAATAGCTGCGTTTACGGCGCGGTCACGGCCACCGGTGATCTCGCTGACTCGAGTGGCGTTGCTGCCGAGTTTGCGACACAGCTCCACCGCCTCAGGGGTCAGTTCATCTTCAGGAGCGCCCGTTTCGCTGTTTACCTGACACTGAGAGCAAGAGAGAAGAGTTGTCAATGTTTTTTCCAATGGTAAGCTAATTGTATATTATCTAATAGTTTTCCCATTTATATTCAGATTAAGCTCCTTTTAAGTCTAAATTAGGCAACTGACATCACACTCCAGTAATGCTAAAGTGTTCTTCGTGGTTTTCAGGGGGATGCTTTATGGTTGCTAAGTTGTTCTGACTGCTTTTTAAAATCACGTTGCTTTGCGGGTGCCAGGGTTTTTCTGATCTGGTCTTTAGATATGACACAGTTCCCTTATTAAATGCAATGTGTTCACACTTATAATTGTCCACCAGGTAAAAGTACTACATCAAATGTATTAGAAAAGTAATATAACACCCGTGCTTAAACTACATGATTTGAGACGACATACTGCGGGACAAGTTACATGTTAAGTATGAGCAATAATAATAATATAATACTGCGTATATTATACTACTAATAATGTGATGCTAGTAATACTTGCCTTAGCAAACACCACTATTTAGAAACACTTCAATTTACAACCCGAAAAGTATTGCCACTAGGGGGCGTAGTGATTCCAAGAAAAAAGCGAGGAACTTGTAATTACACATATGTCCACTAGTTGGCAGTAGCTTTTAAGTTTATGGAAGCCGTTTGATAACATTTGAACATTTATCACTTAAACATACTGATATGATCTGATTAGACTGAGCATAGTAAAAATGTATGCTCATTTGTGTATCTTTACAATCAGCATTATCTCTGTAACCTTACACAACCCAACTTTTCGGGTGAGAGGTTCAGATTAGATTTACAGCATTCAGTTTGTGAAGAACATGATATCAGTCAAATTATACAAGGAAGGCATTAAAAAAGAATCAATAATGTTGAATAATAATTTAAATAAAAAAGCTTTTTATTTTGGTCATTAACTACGTTTAACACTGTTTCCTAGACAATCACAGCTGATCTGAACATTTTGGTGAATGAGTTACACAACACAAAGCCACACAAATCTAAGCTAAACATTTGACAAACTGTCACTCATCACAGTTGGTTGATGGATGGAAAAGATTTTTTAAAGCTTTTTGCTTTATCTCATCTGGTGAAAGATTGCAAGGTGGATAACCTTGACACACGTTTGTACTGGAATCAACACACACACACACACACACACACACACACGATACCTTAATGGTGAGCAGCATGGAGAGGAACTTTCTCTTGTCTCCGATAAGCATGGCATTGCTGATGAGTGGAATGGCCTCTTTAACTGCGTCCTCAATGGGCACCGGGGGAATATTTTCACCTCCAGCTGTGATGATCAGTTCTAGAATAAAAACAGAAACTTCCTTACATGCACCACACTAAATCCCAGTGAAATACTTTATGTGGCCACTCTATAACATCTTATGAAATGAAATTGCATAGCTGTTTTAGTTCCAGTGAGTAAGGGTGTGTTCACACTTGGCAGGTTTGCTCTTTGCTCTGTTAGTGCGGTTCATTTGAATAAGTATGAACGCTGCCATCCGAATCCTGGAGCACACCAAACAAGCAGACCGAGACCCACCATTCCGCTTTCAAGCCAACTCCGGTGCGGTTGAATGAAATATGAACGCAACATGGACCAAAGACATTTAAACAAATCAAAAACAGGAAGTGATGTCACAAGATGCGACCCTAAAAAGGACAGAATGCTCAAACAAATCTGTTTTTTCTCATCATAGGAGTTCGGTTGCCCATTACAGATCTTTGTTTGTGTGCAACGGAGGAACTCCTAGTGCTGTTTTGACTTCTATACACATTCTATAAGCTCTTTGTGAGTTCTCAGCTGGTAAAAATACCATATGTACGCACATACAACGAGCACATTTAGCACACAGAATTATTTGGATGTGCGCCGCGGTAAGTTCCATCATCAGTAAGCGGTAAGTTCGTTTGTATTTTTAGGTTCGGTGTTAAAAAATATCAGTGTGAAAGCTAAGCAAACCAGAACTAAATGTATCATTTTCTTTTTTTGGTCTGGAGCAAAAGAACCAATAGAACTGATCTACAAGTGTGAACACTGCCATCCGAATCCTGGTGCGCACCAAACAAGCAGAGCCCACCTTTTCAGGGAATCTCAGTCCACTTCCAAATGAACTTTGGTGTGGATCGAAGAGGAAGCACAGCATCTATTTTCAACCGACTGTCAAACTCATTACCTTTAATGCGGCCAGTGATGAACAGGAAGTCGTTCTGGTCGTGTTTGCCGAGGTCTCCCGAGTGCAGCCAGCCATCAGTATCTAGAGCCTCTTCTGTTTTATCAGGCATGTTCAGGTATCCCATGAACACATGACGACCCCAGAAACAAATCTCTCCATTCCCATCGGAATCAGGGCTGAAGATCTTTGTCTTACAGCCTGGAATCACCTTTCCACAGCTGAGAAGGAAATGCAAATGAGAAATATACTAAAAGTTAAAGCTTAATTGACTAAAAATGACTCACTTCAGCTGAAAAAAAAATAAATCCAGGTGTCAGTACCTGGTGAGTCTGAAGGCGTCAGGCAGTGAGATGGTGTGCGGTCCAGAGCTCTCACTCATGCCGTAGAGTTCAAAGAGAGGAATGTCCAGACTGAGGAAAAACTCCAGCGTGTCTTTGGTTATGGGAGCCGCTCCGGTGTAGCACCTCGTACAGCGATCCAGACCCAGTGCCTTCCGAACCTTCCGGAACACCAGGCGCTTCGCCAACCGATAGTTCAGTGGCTTTGTGGACAGGTTGCCATTACTGAAGACACAAGACAATTCCTCTCTGTTAATACAGAGCCTAATTGTTTCACTGTTTAAAAGTGCCCTTTTTTTTCTCGTTTGTACCCTTTTTTCTGCTCAAGTCAACTAACTTGGGATCCAAAAATCTGAGACTACTTCTCACATTACTTTTTTCTAGTTTTATACAATTTGTTTCAATACAAATTATATTAGCAGAATAACAGTTTGAGTAAAAAGATGTAAACAAATACATATTTTATTAATATTATTAAGAACTATTAAGTGCTCTATGTCTTTATTTAAAAATTTTCAAATTCCTAAAACTGCTTAAAAGACTTCATTCCCAGATTTTCCATAAAGATGCCATATTTTACTCCTGTGGCATTTATTGGGATTAATTAACTTAACTGGGGTCCAAAAGTCTGAGACCACTTCTATTTTGCATTTTTATAATTTAATAGAATTTGTCAAATGATATTAGCAGAATAACAGTTTGAGTGAAAAGATGACTTGAACATTTTAATTTATTAGTATTTTTTTTTATTTAAGGAAATCTGACATCTCAAATGTTATTCTTATTATAAATAAATATTTTATTTTAATATTTAATTACTATTATTAAAAAGCATTAATTGCTCAATGTTTCTTTATTTTAAATGTTTCAAATTCCAACAACCAGGTTTAAAATAGATTTTGAATCCCAGATTTTCAATTGAGTCTCAGACTTCTGGATCCTAATGTAAATTAGTGATATTTCAAAATGAGTGTCATGTGTGTCTTTTTGTGTGTTTAAGTGTGTATGTACATACAGCTCCATTTTGTTGAGGTTTGTCTGCAGGCCCACGTCTTTGGCCCAAGACGCCACCTTCCGGCGCACAGTGGACGATTTGGCTCCGATCGACTTCATCTTTTCCTGCATCTTCTCCCACACTCGTGGGACACCCATGAACGCAGTAGGGCGTATCTCACGTAGGGTGTTGGCCAGAGTACCCTGGGACATGCAATGACTTCTATTATTACATGTGCAAGCATGGTTTGCCAAAGGGTTCATGTGTGCATGCCAACATCAGCTGACACACCCAGGGTTATGTCAGGTGACATGAGCAGGTATGTCATGTCAGTTTCTGGCCCTGTTCTTAAATCAATGACCCGATTATAAAACTGCGGTGCTATTGGGACCCATTGAGGCACTACAGATATCACATGCTCAGCTTCTAGATATCACAGGGGAAACATCATACATCGGTTTTAATAAAATATCAGATCAGATTAGGGGCTTGTTTTCTGAAAAGGGATGAAAATTAAACACTTCTGAACATCACAAATGCCTTTCTGTGAGTGAGAGCTGCATGACTAAGACTTCATGAATTATGTTTTACCGAAAGGATCAGTGAAAAAGCTCTTTAAAAGGATTATACAGTTAGTTTAAACTAACAAGATTGTCTTTGGAAGGATCTTCTCTTACGTACACAAAACAGAAGAAAACAAGAAGTGCCTTCACTAAAATGTACACTACCTTTTAAAAGTTTGAGATCGTTAAAATCTTTTAACGTTTTTTTGAAGGTCTCTTATGCTCACCAAGGGTGCATTTATTTAATCAAAAATACATTTAAATTGTAATAATATATTTTTTTTAAAGTAATTTTTTCCCATGATGATAAAGCTGAATTTTCAGCATCATTACTCCAGTCTTCAGTGTCACATGATCCTTCAGAAAAATTTCTAATATGCTGATTTGTTGCTCAAGAAATATTTCTTGTTATTATCAACGGCTACGTTTACATGCAAAATTAATGAATCCGAATGTAGTGTTTACATGAACGCTAAACATGTGATCGGGTTGATGAGACCGTTTATATGTCACAAGCTTCAAATCGGGATAGTTTTTTTTGACATACACACAGTCGCACACTGCAGGAATATACAGAGTTTCCCGCTGTTTGATCGAAATTTCATTCGGATCGAGCTCAATCGGATCGATTCGGGTGTTTACATGAAGGCTTTTCAGTCCGATTGAGCTGTCAATCCGATTACTAACAGATTATTTGGTTGCATGTAAACGTAGCCAGTGTTGAAAACAGTTATGCTTCTTAATATGTGCAAATCATGACTTTTTTTTTCAGGATTCTTTGATGAATTGCAACAGAATTAAAATAAATAAATAAAAATCTTTTGTATCAAATGTCTTGGTCACTTGATCAAATGAATGCATCCCTGCTAAATAAAAGTATCACTTTCTTAAAAAAAAAAAAACAGGAAGTTTTTTTTAGCACTAGCATGGCAAATGAATAGCAAAGGATGTGTAATTTCCACACTAACCTTTAGCGCATCAGGCTGTGCAAAGTACGCAACTCCTCCTGCTTTCATGGGAAGCCAGATGTCAATCATCTGTGCAGCAATATGGCTGAGTGGAAGGTAGCTCACGACCACTTCCTGTGACTTATCTGCATCTGCAAGACTCACATCTTGGCCGGTTGCAAATGCTGTCCATGTCAGCTACAGGAGGAGAGAGAGAACATTTCAGTATTAAGAATGACTGGTGACTCATCGTACTATACATCACAAGTAAACCCTCGTTTTAAAGTTAGTTTTTGTTACAATTTGCTCAAAAGTCTCAAATGTCATTTTGTGAATGTTTCGGCTTTAACTCACGTTGTCGTGACTAAGCATTACTCCCTTTGGCTGGCCTGTGGTTCCGGATGTGTAGATCAGTGTGCAGCACTGATTGGGTTTCTGGGAGCTGATGATATCATCGAGTTGAGCGTCAGGCTCATCGCGGCCCAGCTCCATAAACTCCGCCCACTATGTGTATCAGATATTTACATAGCAAATGTCAGATTTCAATTAGTAAAGGAGTGGGATTAGAAAGAAAGATTATGTTCTGAGAACTGAATTGAAAATATTTGACTAATCAAATGTACCGTGTAGAGATTGGGCTTTTTCTCTTTCAGCTCATCTTTGTACTGGATAATGGCTTTAAGGTGCGGTAATTTGTCCTGGACCTGAAATGAAACACACATACACACAGAGCATAAGAGATCATCAGGAAAAAGCCTACAGCAGATGGAGGAACTGAGTGTGATTTTAATGAACTGATCAGGGGCTTTAGTTTAATCAGACATCACACTCAGTCTCAGGATCTAAGAACTGGGACCAGAAATAACCAGGATTTTTTCGCAATATACAAACAATACAATCATATCATTTTGATGGCAGGACCATTAACATTTATGGAATCACTCTCAATAATAATAATATATATATATATATATATATATATACACATACACATACACACACACACACACAGTATACATACATGTATATGTAATGTTCAAATTCTCACAATTATTATATATATTATTATTATATTAATATATATTAATATATATATATATATATATATATAAATGAAATAATTGTGAGAATTTGAACATTTAGGAATAGCACACTACCTTTTAAGGTTTTGGGGTCAGTACATTTTAAAAAAAAATTAATACTTTTATTCAGGTAGATGTATAACATCATTTAAAAGTGACAGTAAAGACTGTTATATTGTTTCACAAAATGTCTATTTCTTATTCTTTTAAACATTTTATTCATCAAAGAATAATAATAAATGTTTTTTGAGCACCAAATCAGAATATTAGAATGATTTCTGAAGAATCATGCGATACTGAAGACTATAATAATGGCTGCTGAATAAATAAATTACATTTTAAAATGTATTACTATAAAAAAGGTTAAAGGTCTTATCTAAATTAATTTAGAAAAGGAAATGGGTCCTGTACTCTCATTACCTGTAAGATCTTCTGCAGCTGTTTGTGGTTTTCCACCACAAGGATGTTGGCCTGGCAATTCTCCGCCACATACTGGCACGCCTCAGGGGAGTTGGTGGTGTAAATGCCCACAGCAAAACCCCTGCCAATGACATACAGAATCCATCAATAAACATCCTGAACCCTGTAATTGATGTAACCAAATGGAGAGCAGTTCAGCAACAGGAAACACCTTCAAACATTAACAACATTCACAATTACTTCTGTTCTGACTCCACCGATAGGTTTACAGACCCAGACAAGATTCTGTTTAACAAGTGCAGGTTGTGCCTTTAACCATCTGTCTTTACTAAAGTCATAAAGGCAACTGGGCAGTTTAAGGCACAGCAGAGCCACTATTTGACTTAAAGCTTTGTTTGGGACAAACACTGGCTGTGTGCTGATGATGTGCATTTAAGAATGACCTGTATGACCCTGGAGTTAGCATGACAGCAGCATTCGTATATGGTTATGGTTGATTTGAAGACTCATAGGACAAAGTGTAAAACATCTTCACAATAAATACTTACCCAGCTAAAATAGCCCCGATGTCAGCAATAAACCACTCGGCTGAGTTGAACCCGAGGATACCGACGCCGTGGTACCGCTCCAGACCGAGCTGTGAACATATACACACAGTTAGCACATAACTGTACATAACTGTAACAGTACATAAACACATTTCAAAGCAAAATCATATTGTTTGTAAAATTGTATATAAAAGATGAAGATGCCCATCTTATGATTTGTTTGAGTCATCGCTCATAAGAATTCCCAGAAGTCCCACATGGCATTTGACATGTTCTTTTTTTTTGTGGTTAAATAAATATTTAGTTAAATACTGCTGTTTATCTCTATGTTTAAGATCTTCACTAGTTCAGTAACTCCAAAATGTCATCAAACTCTTAAACAAAGTTCTTGCAACAGGACATTAGAGATAAACAATTTGTGAACCAGTTTAACAAAATCATTAAGAAGATTCAAAATAATGATTTTTTCATGAGTCAGACTTCATCATCGATTTATATGGAGGATGAACATACCAAGCTGCATCATATTTAAAATACAAAAGTTGCACCAGCCAAAATATTGCACGCATGTCATGACATCTAACACCTCTTTTGTAAGGTCTTTCTTTTGTGTTTATGCTGCCTAGCGTACACACAACTCAATCTGAATCTCTCCCACAGGGTTTGAGTTGGACAAATTACACTAATTTTGAGTAGCACAATAAACAAAACCATGGAAATCTGCCCACATCGGCCGCCAAGCATGACGTCCTGTTCCCCACAGGGAGAACGTGACCAGTTGGGAGTTGAACCTCATCCCAAGATAAGGGCATGGAAAAACTGAAGACGATCAACAAAAGCCTCCTGCTGCAGAGAGAAACTACTCTCAGGTACTGCGGCCAATTGTGCTCAAGCTGCACAACAACTAAAATCCAGCTCTGAGTGGGTTGTGCAGAATTCAAGAACATTTCAAGGTCATATTACACCCCAAAAGAGAAAGACAAAAATACAAAATTATATATTTGATGGGAAAATAAATAAATAGAATTCTCATTACCGTAATGGAAAGAATATTTATATTATTTCAATTGTAATTATATTTAGACAAGTTTTTTATCATGATAGTATTGTTGTACTGCCATAAATTTGAACTGACTTATTGAATTTGCACTGTATTATGTATATATTACAGAAATGAGAATAAAAAGAATGAAACTTAGTATGTAAACTGCCCAGACACATTATGTTAATGAGAACGGAGCATGAAAATGTGCTTGATTCTCATTAAAATTTTTAAAAAATGGGCTTTAAATTGTAGTGAAATAGAACGAGGATTGTGTCATTACCCAGATGCCTTATCATACACTGCACTAATTGCAGGCACTTTCACCCTGAGGTAACCTTAGTTCAAATGCTTTACTCGAGGACAAAACAATGATTACCTAAGGACTTTCTGTGATCTTAATAACAGTTACGCCTGTTTATATGCGTTTATACGTTCTTAAGTGTTTGTTATCAGGCATCTCTTACATAAAAATGTTCCTCTTATCAGAAACATTACAGTGTCATTTCAGATAACAGCGTAATGCTGAACGGTCGTGATCTCAACAGAAACGGCAAGAAGACAATGAAAATGACTAGTTACTAAATTGCTAAGCAATAAACAGTCATGGGTTAAATCTGTTATGCTAACTAGGTGCTTGACTCAAACAATGGCAAACTCATATATTGCAAAAAAAAAAAATAAAGCCAATGAAAATGTTGGAAAAGTAAAAATGTAAACTGTACATCCATCTTTGCAAAGCCTCAGTGGGTCACAAATAAAGATATTAAACCCTCAACAATACTCAACGGTTTAAAGTGAGTTAACGGCCCTCACCTTGAGGAAGCTCTTGGCAGCAGTGCGGCAAGACTTGTAGTACTCGCTGTAGGTCATGGTTTTCCACTGCTCTCCCTCTTTCCAGCCCAGAGCGTTGTAGTTGCCGAAGCGCTGGACAGTAGAGGTGAACATCTGGTTCACTGTCATGGCGGGTTCAGCCTCGGGGCCGGACTCACCCATTCTGAGCTTCACCTCTCCATCCCTGCATGTGGCCCAGAACTCTGTGCCCTTAGCGGGCAAAGACAGGGAGTCGGGTCGAGGGGTGGCACCTACAAAGTGAACAGCTATTTATTGTCTCTGATCATTATTTATTCTGAACAGTGTAGTACACAGTGGTTACATTTGTAACCAGACAACCCCTATTAAATAGTTTTGTAGCAGTAACATGGAATCAGGTGATACTTTGAGATATAACATAATACCACGATGCTTTTTGGTATTTTTACGTTAGTGAATTCTGTTTTAGTCTCTGCTGTAAGTCAGTTTTTATGTTGTGTTTGTGTGGTCTTCGTTTGCACAAAACACAAAATGATTTTGCCGCTGGCGTCTGTTTTAAATCAAACGGCTCAGCGACACCCTATCAGAACATTTACTTACACACTCTTTCGCCTCAGCATGAGAGGCCCATCCATCACTAGTATCTAATACACACACTGGCCCTGAGTTTCTGTTGAGGTTTCAGTAGCAGAGCACAGAATCATTTACAGCTTTAAACCAGAAAACAAACTGCAGGAGTCATATCAGTATGCAAACTCTTCCAAGCAGTGAGTGTTTACTCAATTTAAAGCTGCAGTGGGTCATTTTATCACATCCAACCAGAATTGCAATCTGTTCGTTTCACCATTGGCAATGGTTTGGGGCATTTTTGTCTGAACAATGACAGATGGGGAAGTGTTTGGGAAACTTGCTTGGAAACAATTCTTGCTTTTGTCGCTAATGGTGCAGAGATTACACACTGCAAGAAATCATTTGCAAGATAGCTGAAAATAATATCAACAGGAATTTATCTTGAGTGATCTCGGCAGCTGTGCATGAAAGGGGAAGAAAGCCACCCCACACATTTTACAACGTCCTGTGCAGCGTAAACCCATAACACACAACTATATGCTGACCATACATCCCGCAAAACCTTTCGAAATGAAACAAAGCCATCACAGCAGCTTGATCAGTAAATCCAGAGTCATGCGACATGACCTCATTCAAAGCTCTGTTATCTTATGTAAACAAGACAGACAGCAGAGCGATAGAACTTCTGGAAGTTAACACATGGGCCACTTTCAAATGGCTCTGAAACTGTTTAACCTCCCATAAAAAAAAACTGTCATCCTGCTGCATGTCTAAAGGAAAGGGAAGTTAGTTTGCATAGGGACAGCAGCTTTCTTTTCAAGCACTTCCTCTCACATAGCACTCAATGGTCCTGATGATCTCAAGTTTTCGAAAAGATGAAGTTACGTAAAAGTTTTCATGATGAAAACACTAAGGAACATTGAGGTGGGAGTTGTGTGTTAGTGCTCCGGGCCAGCTTTTCATCACTCTGTGCTTTATCTGTGTAATGCAGAACTGAATGCACATTGCACACATGGCGGATTTGGGGCCTCAGATGTTTATGGCATGTGTTCAAAATGGCGATTATGGTCACACATATGCCTGTAACAGCGAGAGTAAGCGAGTATGTTTGTTTGTATAATAGTGAGAATATGTTGTAGACTTTTCATCCAAGTGTTTGTGAGTTTAAAGTGATTTGCGAGTGTTAGTAAAACAGCAAGAGTGTGTAATCTCACCGGATTCTGCCTGCACACTCTGTTCGGCTTTGGTGTTTGATTGCTCTTCTCTGGCACATGCTGATTCTTCCTCTGATGACTCACTGCGAAGAAATCAAATAATGAGTTTTCCAGACAAGCAGCATTCTCTAGCTGAAATGGTTTCATCTTTCTCTCAGACACACACACGAGTATCACTTTACATTACTTAGGCCTACATTTTTTGCACCAAATCTGCACATTTAAATAATTTCTTAAGGATTATGCGACACTGAAGACTGGAGCAATGGCTGCTGAAAATTAAGCTTTGCCATCACAGGAATAAATTACATTTTAAAATATATTAAAATAGAAAATAGTTATTTTAAATTGTAATAATAATAATTCAAAATATTACTATTTTTATTGGATCAAATAAATGCAGCCTTGGTAAGAATAAAAAACTCAACTTATGATGTAACGAATCTTTATTTGATTTATTGATGTGATTCATTATGATGAATTGTATATTTATTTTATATACCTGTCATAGGTATTTATGTGTGACAGTGTGGTATATATATATATATATATATATATATATATATAGGTATCTACCAGTGACAGCCACTGGTAGTTTCTTTATATAATGACCCTCCCACATAACTTAATTCTCATGTTTACAAACAAACCTATCATGACTAATTCGTCAAAATTGTATGTAGCCTATAAATAACTCATGGGAGTTTAGTCGCAGACCTGACCTAGTATACATGCATGTTAAGTTTATGTGAACATGACAGAAGAAATGAAAAGACACTGACTTTGCTGTAGACTCGGCGATGGCATCTTCCAGGGAGGCGAGACTGTCTGCTGTTCCACAGGACTGGAGGAGGCTTGCGTCCCCTGGATGGTCCATCACTAAGGCTGTGGACATGGCCGTAGGTTCACACGCAGTCACTAATGTGAATAGACACAGTGTTAAAAGTAGCACTCAAACGATTTTTTTTATTGCCTAATGTAAATATCTAGAGATGGCAATTTAATGGCATATAAAATGCTGGGGGGTTGATTATGATTTCACTTTTCTAACTTTAGTTAGTGTGTAATGTTGCTGTTTGAGCATAAACAACATCTGCAAAGTTACAATGCTCAAAGTTCAAAGCAAAAGAAGATATTTGCTTTTAAAGAAATTGTTTTTAAAAGGACTACAACAAACGGCTGGTAGGGACTACACGACATTCCTCCCGGGTTAGTGACATCACTAACCCTAAAATGTACATAAACCCCACCCCCGGGAACACGCAGTCTACACATGTAGTAGAGCAGATTTGTGAGTCTGCTCAAGCTGTCGCATCCGTCTGATTTTTGTAGATTATCATGACAGAATATGCTAATTAAAGATAGAACTCTCCACATCAGCAACATAAATTCATCAACAAACATTCAGAAACATCCTGTTGCACTCTACATGTTGTCACTTCTTCTGAGTCTCTCCATCATTGTCCGACTCCAGTTTAAACATAAAAGGCAGAACAGTTTCTGACATTTTAGTGCATGTCTGCGTGAGGTAATTGGATCCACACACACACACACACGAGCCTGTGTGTGCCCTCTGTGCCGGGAGCAGCAGCTCATTTGCATTTAAAGGGACACACTCGAAACAATGCGTTTTACTGACCCTCTAAAAGGGACAATTTTAAAGGGATACTCCACTTTTTTTGGAAATAGGAGTTTTACCATTTTTGAATCCATTCAGCCGATCTCCGGTTCTGGCGGTATCACTTTTAGCATAGCTTAGCATACATCATTGAAGTGGACAAGACCATTAGCATTTCTCAACAAAAAAATGACCAAAGAGTTTCGATATTTTTCCTATTTAAAACTTGACTCTTCTGTAGTTACATCGTGCACTAAGACCGACGGAAAATGTAAAGTTGCGATTTTCTAGGCTGATATGGCTAGGAACTATGGCTAGGCGTAATATGACGCAGCGCCTGAAAATAGTTCCGTTGTGTTGACGGAAGGTAGCCTATTTTCAGGCGCTGCGTCATATCATTACGCCTGCTGCTCTCATGGTACGGCAGTAAAGTTTCTTGATTACTACGCAGGAATGAGAGTATAGTTCCTAGCCATATCAGCCTAGAAAATCGCAACTTTACATTGTACCGTCAGTCTTAGTGCACGATGTAACTACAGAAGAGTCAAGTTTTAAATAGGAAAAATTTCGAAACTCTTTGGTCATTTTTTTTTTGAGAAATGCTAATGGTCTTGTCCACTTCAATGATGTATGCTAAGCTATGCTAAAAGTGGTACCGCCAGAACCGGAGATCGGCTGAATGGATTCAAAAACTTTAAAACTCAACAGTTTAACTCTGGGGGAGTTGTAAAATGAGCCTATTTCCCAAAAAAGTGGAGTATCCCTTTAACATGCTGTAAAAAATTATCTAAGGGTATTTTGAGCTAAAAATTCACATACACACTCTGGGGACAACAGAGACTTATTTTATATATTGTAAAAAGGGGCATTATACCACCCCTTAAGATGGATTTATTGGTGACCTGCTAAAAAGTGTGTGGAGATTATACAAGTGGACACTACTTATTTTGGACAATACTACTCAACAGTCACAATATATTAAAGTGAAATGTAAACCTACAACCAACTATGAATGCCCGTCTAAACCAGTTTCACCCATACATTTCTAGTCTCTGATCTGACCCCAACGGCAAAGCATGCTGGGTCACCAGCAGTGCCACAATACTTTGTCTCTGTCTTTAAGACACCATCATAGGATGAAAAGTTGAGTCAAAGCCTAAATTTAAAAGAAAGCCCCTGAAGTAAGCATGAGACAGTCACACGGCCAAACAAAACAAAAATGATCTAAACTAAACAGACATGAGCCTTTTCTTCAGTAAGCTTTCCCCTTCAGTTTTTTTCCACACTAAATCACTATACAGACTTTTTCTTCCTTTAATCAAAGAAGATCATTCACTATTATATAAAACTTTGGGAACAAGTTATCCAAAAGTCTCCCTTCACTTAATATACAACCTTTTTTAATAACCCTGCATAAATAGTTTATTGAAAACCATAAAAAGGTCGATTGCTAAGGCAGTTGACCACATTATTCCACAAAATTTCCTAACATGGCCCCTGCGGACTGCACAGAAAGGGTATCATTGTCAAGAAAAGGAAACACATCTCTATGTCCAGAAAAAAATTGCTGCCCACCCTTATATTATCTTCTGCCCTCTCCATTCCAAAGCCTGACCTCTGCACCTTTCGAGCGACATGTTGTTTTTACACGCCGCTGCCATAAAAACACACGCTCCCGTCCCTCTATAATGATGAGAACAATCAGAAAAGGCCAGCGGATAGAAAAACAGGGCTTTTAGAGTCTGAAATAAACCCAGGGAGTGAAAAACAAACCTGGTGCTATTCATCAGCCTCGTGCTTAATGACCTTTTGCTCAGAGGTTTTGGTTTTAGCTTTCATCGATGAGATGAAAACATTAGGGTTATTATGAGCAACACTTCCACAAAAAGTACCGTGCTGGTATATGGTACAGTATCAGAAATCAACACCATGCTACTTTGGAACAAATTCATGAACCACAGGGTTTTATAATAAACTGTTAAAAAGTCCATTTCTCTTCCACAGCTTAACGTATTAATAAATGATTGCCCTATTAAACTACTTAATAATAAATATGTTTTACATAAATAATACAATATACGATATACATACACACATATACATACATATTATACATACATGCCAAATAAATCAACTGAAACTGTCTGCACCACAATATAAACAAAAGTTAAATAGAATTATAGAGACAATGACTTTTATATTTTCAATCAATGCTGTGTGATTTCTGACAATCTGTGTATTCTGTCAAAATGAACTGGGGCGTCTCAACAACATTAATCAACAGTTTGTGTTCTGTATGTGTATAGGAAAAGATCTAAAAATCACCAAGATAATTGACCCTTCGCTAAGCCCCGCCCTCCTTAGTTACTGTTGCGACGCCTGTCAAGCTTTCGCGGCTGCCACGTCTATTACAATGTGAATGCACCGGTGTCAGACATTCCCAAGGAGATAATTAGTCATTTTTGGCGAACAGGTGAAATATCTGAGAGAGCAAGACAAAAGGGACAGCAGTATGCATTCGAGGGATATATCCACGACATAATATGCAACCGATTAGAGAATAATTTCATCAAAATTGAAGCTAAAGCCTATAACGTTAGGTCCCAGCGCAGGCAGCAGCCGCCTCCTTAGCAGACCATTCACATGGGAAACACACAAATTGAACAGCTATGTTCATGCACAGCAGAGTAAGTGAAATGTGAAAATAATCTAATAATTACAAATCAAACAGTTTATCCATCAATCTAACACCGGGAGAGCCGCGATCGGATTGGGGTAAAGTTACAGGGGTAACGTTAGTAGGCCGTCGATTAACAAAATGCTGAAATATATTTTAAAGTATGTCAGTGAGCCTTCGTTTTGCCTTTAATCGTCTTATTTTACGTTCAAATATATGCATTATGAACAAAGAATCGTCATTATTTCCAAGCAATAGGCGTTTTTTTTTGTTTTGTTAATCCTGTCGACATTTAGTTGTGAATGGGTCTCCACACTGCTTGATCCACGCCCGGGATTCCTCCCCTTTGGCTTTTAGGTTTCGGGAAGAGAAAAAATGCCACCCCACCGTCCAAACTTTTAGAACCCCGGGTATCAGATTTGCACAATCCATACGCACAACCAAGGGCGTAGATTTGGTTTGAACATTGGGGGGGTTGTAATGTTTAATATAGTTTAAAAAAATTGTTCTGCATATTTTTCATGTGATCATGGTATAAATATTGGGGGGGTTATCTCCCCCCCAACCCCCCCATAAATTACGCCCCTGCGCACAACGCGTCGGCATGTTTCCCTCGCTCGAAAGCTTGCCAGACCTCCCGCGCCTAGTTACGGTTGCTAAGCCACGATTGGCCAGTGGCGGTTTTCGGGCGTGGCTTAGCGAAGGGTCAATTAATCAGAGAAAAACTAAAACTACACTGAAAACTAAATAAAAACTCAAAATAATAACATAAAAAAATACACCACTTAATGGTGCTATATGTAACTTTTCTTCTAAAATGAATCCTTTTTTTATTGCCTGTGTGTGAAGGGGTTGTAATCACACATTACAATGATCCACTTGTCTGGTTTTGCTATTACCTCTGAAGGCCAGTATTCCTATTTCTATGTGAAGTCTCCGGGTCGGATTTTCTGCGAAATCCATCGGATGTGACGTGCATGCCCGCTCCCCGAGCCTCTCTCCTATTTATATACAGTCTATGCGACGGCACTGCAGCTGACGACATGGAGTCTGATAACACCCAAAAACGACCTGTCTCCAGCACAACACAGACTCCAACACAAACTCCACATAAACATACAAAACAAAACAAAAATGTATCTGCTGAAGCTCGTCAGGCCAAACGTGAATCGGATCGACTTAGGGCGAAAACACGGATCAACATCGGCAAAGCGTTTGAATTATGGAGAGACCTCCGCTATTTGTATTGTGATAAATGACAAGTTTTCAGATATGCTGAAATAAATAATGGTAAACTGTAATGAAATAGCAAGGTAAACTACAAGATACATGAGACATGAAATTAATACAAAAGACTGTTCCAGGATAACAAAAAGTGGGTGCTTTAGGATGTAACTTTTATTTTATGTACTAGATCTACTAACATCACTCATCCCACTACTATCATATTATTTATAATACACATTTCCAGACTCGTTCAGTACAGTAATGTTACTTCCTACGATCTTACTGTTACACTGACATTGTTCAGTCTAGTTCACTAACCGTTTTCGTTATCATATTATAGGCTACATTAATCTCTAGGGCTAGGCTATGTTGACATTGCTGCCTGATTGTGAAAGATACACGAATAGTTAGTGAAATGCCTTGTTATGCTAGATAACACCACATGTCGGCTAAATGCAGTCAATGTAACGCTATCATGGTACGAGCATGGAGCATTAGTTCAACGTCAAGCTGATAAAAGTAGCCTATTATTGTAACGTTGCAGTGGGAGTTTACATGAGTTTCCAGCATGTTGTGTGATGCTTTCTCCGGTGTGTTGAAAGTCTCAGTGTGGCCGTGTACCATGAGTGCTCGCTCTTGTGTTCGAGCACGCGCAAGAGCACAAGCGCTCTTGAAAAAATTGGTTGCAATCTGAAACATCACCGATAGAGGCTGCTAAAAAATACATATAGCACCTTTAAAGAACTAAATATTTAAACACTTGAATTTATTGTACTATTTACATGGCATTTTGTTTTAAAAAGAAAATCCCACTGTATTTATATGTCCAAAAAAGACATTGTTAGTGGACAAAATTGCTCATTTGTCATTTCCTCAGTTAGTAGAATGATTTAACCTCCTTCCTCCCCCTTTCCCAATCCATTCACCTTGGTAACTTCCCTCCCAGCAGAGCCATCCATGGCACCATGGCATGAGCTTCTCAGACACACACCAGCCACAACTAACTCCCAGCATGCACTCAATGATGCATGCAGATGCAAATCCTTGTCTTGGCTGACGTCAGCTCGCCTGATAACAGACTCCCTTGTCTGGAAACTGAAGGCATGGTAGTAAAATATGAATTTGGATGGGTTTGTTTGGGATTAATGGACCCATGCCAGTTTGCATCTCATTGCTGGTTTGACTGATGTTCCCTTGTTGCGTGTCTTGTAGCTGGTGGGTGAAGCTCAAACCAATCAGCATCTCAGAACTTTCACAAGATTCCCAATATACATTATGAACTAGTTTTGCCTTCAATCTGGCATTTTCAAACAAGCCACCTTTAAAAACCCACATTTCAAAGGCTTGTATACTGTCAGTCGTTTCATTACCTAGAAATACACATCATCATTCTGCACGTCATTCCAGTTTATTCTCACTCTTCATCCCTTTATCTCATCTTAATCAGCCATCTGCTGTCATGTGATCAGTCCAAAGCTGTGAATTGGTGATCATGGCCATTTTCACTAAGCAGCAATATACTACATTCATAGCGCTAACTGGCCTTCAAATGTGACAAAAAAAAAACTGAAAGAGTCATGGAGTGGAAGAGTGATGTTTCCTTCCTAATGACTAATAAATCAGCTGATGTTGTTTGTTGAAATTTCATCCTTCGCTTAATGACTATGAAAATGTCTATATATAACTTTCAAAAACACCAGCAAGATCTTCTTTGGTCCTCTAGTGGTTTCCAGTAGTCCTATATTTTCCACTCTGGCACTGCCAAGGGACTTTCTGAATTGTCCTGGTAAGTTCACATCAGGAAGGGATCTTCACTATTGCAGTACATTTATTGTATTTTGATCAAACAAATGCAGCCTTGGTGAGCATAAGAGACCGTCAAAAATATTTAAAAGACCCCAAACTTTTGAAGTGTGGTGTATGTGTTCCGCATCTTCCTTCCACAAATTGACAATCACTCAGCCATGATTAAGGACACAAAAAACCCAATGAATGATTAACTAATATTATCATGTGGGTTGATTATGACAACTTCTTGATTTACTATTAATAATTATATTTTGACTTTAATCATGTAATTGTTCTGGGACAAATCCTCAGCTCAGACCCATTTAGAATAATAATTACTGTAATAACCACTGTTGTTCTCAAATCATAAACACCTCACATATCAGTAAGCTCATTTTCAATTTTCCTGCTTTTTTCCTCACTTTTTTTCAGACACAATCACATCTATCAATTTGAGGAGTGTGTGAAAGGCGTCTGCCTTGCAGAATGATGGGAGAATGTGAGCATAGATGTCCCAAAACCCTGTGTGAATACAAGGGCTGTGCAAATCCTGTCGGCCACACCTCGAACACCACAAACATCCTGTAATTTACTGCTGATGCTTCTGCCATGCTGTCCAAGCCTGGATTAACAAGACTCAACAGGAGGACGGGAGAGGAGGGGTTTCCACACAGCTGATGCTGGCAGCAATTGTCGGCTACGCTCAGCCCCCACCCAAAAATTACCATCTGTAAGCCGGCATAGAGAGCTGGGATCATGCAGAGGATACTTTACGTTTCCAATGCCCATTTTCTCATTTAAATGAGAAGTGTGTGATAAATACCAAAACCGAAACTGTATCTTTCATATGCAAAAATCATCTCACCAGACATGAATGGGGCCACGCCTCTAATTTCATATCATAATTCACATCCATTAGGATCTAAACACATCAAACACCAATAATCATACACGCATCACACACACAGATCTGTTGCTTTAGAAACGAACTCCCAGTGTTTAGGGGTGCGATTCATCATCTCTAACCCCAAGTGCTATAAAACCATTATTTTACATAGTAAAAACAAAAATGGAAACTTACAGTGCATCTTTACAGGCTGTAAAATGCTGCTCTGTCTTTGGATTTTCTGTATCAGAAGCTGAAATGACTGTTTCTTCGGTTTCCCTATCGTCTGACTCCAAAATGATGGCCGCTTCCTTACGCCCTACAACTGTGCATGTAGCACATTCATTTTCAAACAGAGCTTTCCACTCCTCTGTAACCACACCCTCAACGGCACCATTAGCACTACAGTATCCTCATCCCCCCTTCCTCAAAAAACACTCCTCGTGCTCTGATTGGCTGAAATCTATCACACCACAAGACTCCCCAAATATGGACATTCCAGCCCACTGAAGGAAGGGGGAGGGGCTATATAACACAAGCGCCACTCTCACTCTCATGCATACAAACCAATGCAGAAGCTATGAGGTTACTACAGTGCAACTTTGAGTATGATACATCAGCTTACAAAAGCCAGAACAGCTGCACTGACATCATTTTACAAACACATAGCCCACAAACACACATCTGTCCCATTAACACGCTGCCATAATAATGCCAATATTGTGCTGCGGAGCATCTGCATACGTGGATCTGCAAGAGTGCTTGAGCTCTCTGCTCCAATTTACCGTCTTTATCGCATGAGCACACACCCAAGTGCAGCTGACCTGCTAAAGCTCATCTCATCTAACCAAAGAAACCAAAACCAAAATTATATGGAACATCTTGCAAGAAAACGTCGGCTAAAATGAGCTGTTCTTGTAGCCTACGTGACAGAAAAGCATTACACAAATGTATACATGCTGTGTAAGTCTAGTAGGGGTCATAAAAGGAACAGAATTATGTAAGAATAAACCTGAAGCTGCCTTTGACAAATTTAGTTGGCATAAATCACAAATGACTTTGAAGGTATGTGACTGACAGCTCATTCCTGTATTTCTGGTTTGTTTCTTTAAAGCTTCGGAGTTGTAGGATGCCATTTCTGTGAAGGAAGTAAAAAAAGTGAGGTTCAACTTCTGCCATTGACATATAAATGGAATCTCTTTGTAGTGGGGAAATTTTGGTAATTTCAGAGATGATCTGCTTTAAATTAAATTTTTATTAATCAAGGATGCATTAAATGGATCAAAAGTGACCGTTACTGTATTTTTGATCAAATAAATGCACCATTGGTGAGCATAAGAGACTTATTTCAAAAACGTTTGAACGGCAGCGTCACCTAAAAGATAATAAATATATGTGAAGATCAGCCTTCTGACCCCAAAGGTTAGTGCAAGTTTAGCACAGGCATGTCGAAACTACACATACACTCACCTAAAGGATTATTAGGAACACCATACTAATACTGTGATTGACCCCCTTTCGCCTTCAGAACTGCCTTAATTCTACGTGGCATTGATTCAACAAGGTGCTGAAATCATTCTTTAGAAATGTTGGCCCATATTGATAGGATAGCATCTTGCAGTTGATGGAGATTTGTGGGATGCACATCCAGGGCACGAAGCTCCCGTTCCACCACATCCCAAAGATGCTCTATTGGGTTGAGATCTGGTGACTGTGGGGGCCATTTTAGTACAGTGAACTCATTATGTTCAAGAAACCAATTTGAAATGATTCGAGCTTTGTGACATGGTGCATTATCCTGCTGGAAGTAGCCATCAGAGGATGGGTACATGGTGGCCATAAAGGGATGGACATGGTCAGAAACAATGCTCAGGTAGGCCGTGGCATTTAAACGATGCCCAATTGGCACTAAGGGGCCTAAAGTGTGCCAAGAAAACATCCCCCACACCATTACACCACCACCACCAGCCTGCACAGTGGTAACAAGGCATGATGGATCCATGTTCTCATTCTGTTTACGCCAAATTCTGACTCTACCATCTGAATGTCTCAACAGAAATCGAGACTCATCAGACCAGGCAACATTTTTCCAGTCTTCAACTGTCCAATTTTGGTGAGCTCTTGCAAATTGTAGCCTCTTTTTCCTATTTGTAGTGGAGATGAGTGGTACCCGGTGGAGTCTTCTGCTGTTGTAGCCCATCCGCTTCAAGGTTGTGCGTGTTGTGGCTTCACAAATGCTTTGCTGCATACCTCGGTTGTAACGAGTGGTTATTTCAGTCAAAGTTGCTCTTCTATCAGCTTGAATCAGTCGGCCCATTCTCCTCTGACCTCTAGCATCAACAAGGCATTTTCGCCCACAGGACTGCCGCATACTGGATGTTTTTCCCTTTTCACACCATTCTTTGTAAACCCTAGAAATGGTTGTGCATGAAAATCCCAGTAACTGAGCAGATTGTGATATACTCAAACCGGCCCGTCTGGCATCAACAACCATGCCACGCTCAAAATTGCTTAATCACCTTTTTTTTCCCCATTCTGACATTCAGTTTGGAGTTCAGGAGATTGTCTTGACAAGGACCACACCCCTAAATGTATTGAAGCAACTGCCATGTGATTGGTTGATTAGATAATTGCATTAATGAGAAATTGAACAGGTGTTCCTATAATCCTTTAGGTGAGTGTATATCCCTAGTTCTACATCTTAACTTTAGAACTACTAACCAGGGAATTTGGCAGTAAAAAAAATAATTACAGAACAATATGCACAAAACTACAGAGACGTTCTTGTGAGTTCTTGAGTTAAGATCTTGCGTAAAAGAGCAATCTTTTGATAATGTCAAGGTAGGGTCCTTTTAACAGTGACTCAAAGTCAACTCAAAACAGGTCACTAATGTAGACTAATATACACTGCCCAACCCCCAAAAAAGCAGCTGTTTGAATTTAAATAGGCAAATGCTTAAAAGTTTATGATTGGATTATTATTGCAGTGATTATTATGTTTCTAGCATGTTATATGTTTGGCAACAGTTCTTCTAACCCGAATTGATGGAGCGTGTAGCTTTTCATTTCTTAAACACTCATGTAGGAAGACGTATCATGGTCATATTCCAGGATGACAATGTCAAGATTCACCAGGCTCAAACTGTGAGAGAATGGTTGGGAGAGAGCATGAAGAATCATTTTCACACATGAATTGGCACCTCTGAGTCCAGACCTTAAATTCGTTGAAAGTCTTTGGGATGTCCTGGAGTAGACTTTTACAGAGTGCTTGACTCTTGCATTGTCAATACAAGATTCTTGACCAACAATTGAAGCACCTCTTGATGGAAATAACATCACAAAATGTCATTTCCATCAAGAGGTGCATCAATTAGGGTTATGAGAACTGTTGCCAAACATATAACATGCTATAATCACTGCAATAATGATCCAATTATTGACTCTTGAGAATTTGACTATTTAAATCCAAACAGCAACTTTTTTTTGGCCGGGTGGCAGGTGTATATGTCCAGGCGTTTCAAAAGCGGCATCTGTGGCGAATACTACATGCCTCTCTATGACCGGCTTCAAAATGACACCATCAGACTGAGGTGCAAAAATCAACCAACACATATGCTGAATGAACGAACAAATTTTCTTTTTTGCCCTTTCTTTCTTTTCTTTTTTTTTTTAAATTGAACTTTCAAAATGAATTCAACAGCAAGTTCTTGACACATTTCTTTACACATTTTCACATTGTGCAAGTATAAATTGAAACAACAATAATTTACATAAAAAGAAACAAAAAAAAGGAACTTAAAATTAAAGGGCATCACAAACATATGATAAATTCATTTAGCAAGGACACAGTTCTTTGGGCTTTTCGTTAAAAAAAAAAAACACGAAAAAAAACCTATTGTACAAAACTTTCAAAAAAGGTAATGTGAAAACATCTGGCTAGAAAGTCTTAACTTGTGTATTACAATTAAGTACTCAATTAATGTGAAGTCATGCCATATTGGTTGATGTAATAGCCTACAATTTTTTCTTTAAGCCTGAATTTTGGGTCTTTATCCCATGACACATTTCCCAGTTTTACTTAGAGGAACAGGACATTTTTCCTTCAGCACACACGAACAGGAAAAATCACAGTTTCCTTTGAAACAGGAAAGCACTTTGACATCACTGTCCGTGTCCGTCCATGCAAATTAAGGCACAAGACATAGTCAAATATGTATATTAAAATGGATATTTCTTTCACTAAGGTTACTAAGCAATCCGTTTAATAAAGATAATTTTGTCAATAAATCTGAACCAGCTGTCACTGTTTGAATGTGTTATTTACACATTTCCAAAATGAGTGCTTTCAGACGCTGAGAACACTACCAACCATATGGTTTATTATCCGTGTTTTCAAATCTAGACCACATGATGACAATATTTCTGTTGACTCATTACAAACCTCAATTTTTGAAATTCTGAATTCTTATACAATATTTGGGCATTTAACTTACACTTGAATGTCTTCCTCAAAATCTTGCAATTTCGGGGTATGCAAGTTCCAGAACATGATGAATGGGATATGCTTAGCCTCAAATGTGGTATTAAGAGATTGTGTGGATTACCGTAAGTGTGCACTAAAGGCACTGAGCTTTGTCAATTTTTTTGACCTGGGACAGTCTTGCACACTTACTTCCTGTCACATGCACGTGCTCAAGTGGCCAAGACCGCAAGGGTATTGGGACAGGCCCTTTGTCATTGGGAACAATCAAAATCCCCACAACTACTTTGCACTGAGCCATATGAGTCAGACCCTCAAACACCAAGGAAACTACCTGAAGTTCAGTCGGTGAGCTCACGTGGCCTGTCACTCTAAATGCAGTGGGTCATTTCACATTTATTACCACATACTAATTAATTCATGATCTTATCATTTGACTTAAAACCCTCTTAAGTGAGAACTCTTCTCTGGAAGCTTTGCTTACTACGCAAACATGTCTACCGGTACTAGTGTAAATAATTCAGATGTAATCTGAAATGACACTGGGGTGATGATGATGCTGATGTTGCTCCTCTCCACCATAGCGAGACCATCGACCAGCCAATGATGGCGTGGCTCTGGAATACCATGCGATCGCGTGACCGTTGACCGAATATATGCGATCCGTATCGCTGCTTCCGATGCAGAAAAGCATCTGGCGCGAGGAAGGTAAAAGGTTACATACGGTCATCGACATTAATCATCAATGCAGAGTGTGTACACAATACACATCTATCGCGGGTGCTGCTGGTAGGTTTACCACTTACCAGGCAATTAAAAAAAGAGAGCTGTAGTTCTGACTTAGTCAGCTTGTTTTTAAAAAGTCGCTGAAAGCTGCATGGTGAAAGTTTTTCTTTCATATCTTTATATGGTGCAAAAGCTTGCTACGAAACAAACGGAACCAAGTGGTAATTATTTTTGTCGGTATTCTAAAATATTTTGAAGATTTAATTTGGACTAAATTATATGACAAACAGACAAGCATACGTTCGCACGTTTCACACTTGAGTACTAACGTTACCTGAGCAACCGGAATGTCTTGTTTGGTAGCTTATTAGCCGGCTATTGTAAACATAAGTTAACTCGAGGATGGATCTCATCTCACAGATTTAATTCCATCACTAAAATAACATTCACAGATACATTCTCATAGAGATATTTAATGTTGTACTCACCGTTTGTTTATTATATCAGTAACTTACGTCCAAGTGTTGAGTTTGTCACTGCAAGTTTTGTACAAATTTGAGATTCAAAGATAGATTTGAAGTCGGTTGTAAATCGTGGTGAGAGAGGAACATAAGGCACGGTGATGTGTCTGTTTCTGTTTCAGTGTGTGTGAGACTGTCACAGAAACCCCACGCCAGTTGACATTATGAAGCTCACGCCTGCTCATAAACGCAGGAGTAGTGCGCGCCAATTATCTATAATCAGACTTGCGCGCGCCCGCGCTCCCCGTCACTTCCCTCAAAGCTCTCACGCGCCACCTGGCGTTCACGTGTGCTGCAGTCAGAGAATATTGGGATAATTCAAGCATACTCTTTCCTGACATTGTTGTCTCCTTGGTAACCAGCCAGGTACACTAACTAAAACGTTATTAGCGCAAAATTGTGGTGAAAATGACGGCAAATCTATTAAATAAAAATTCATACAATACCCATTAAAACGCTTTATTTCACTCTTTGTTTAGGTCATATAAAACATTTATAATTGGACTTTTTCAATTCTGAATAAAGTATCTGAATAGCGCCAAAACTAAATGTCATAGTTCAGCGTTTGTAAGAAGTTTTTATTTAGCTTTTATATAACAAAACAGTTGAAATCTGTATAAAAACAAAAAAACAAAAAAAAAAAAAACATCTCTAGGACATTTAAAGTGCTGAAAGTTTAATAAACAAGAATATTAAAACAAGCATTAACTAAAATGCAATAAATTCAAATAACCTATTTTTTAGAAAGGCATACTAATTTTATAATTTACTGCCAAAAATGTGCAGTAGACTTAGCCTGAGGTCGTCATACACAACTCGTTTGTGCATTTTGTTTATTTCCAAAATGAAAAAAATAACACCATTCACTAAATTAAACATATAGTGAGGAGATATGACAACAATGCAGCATAATAGCGTATACTGTTTAAAATTATTTCAATGTTTATTGTCGAATGTTTAAACTATATACAGCTATATGTTTTTAAAAGTATCTTATGCTCACCAAGACTTCATTTATTTCATCAAAAATATTTGTGATATTGCAAAATATTATTACAAATTAAAAGAACTGTTTTCTATTTAATATATTTTAAAATGTAATGAAAAGCTGAATTTCCAGCATCACTACTCCAGTCTTCAGTTTCACACGATTCTTCAGAAATCATTCTAGTATGCTGATTTGGTGCTCAAGAAACATTATTATTATCACATTCGTATCAATGTTGAAAACAGTTGTGCTGCTTAACCTTTTTGTGTAAATTGTGATACTTGTTTCCTTCTTTGATGACTAGAAAGTTTATTTGCATTTATTAAATTCAATTATTAATAAAAAATAGAAAATCTTTTATAAATGTCTTCACTGGCACTTTTAATTAATTTAATGCATCCTTCCTTAATGAAGGATAATTAATTTCTCTCTCTTTCTCTCTCTTAAATCTTACCACAAAGAGGTTCAAGAACAGTTTTTTCCCCAGAGCCATAACCATCATGAATTCTAATATGCACTGATCCCACTCTGCCACACACACACACACACACACACACACACACACACACACACACACACACACACACACACACACACATCTATCTATTATATTCTAAGTGTTTGAATGGTAATAAATGCATGTTTTCAAACTCTTGACAGGCACTGTGTAGTTTTAAAATAGTTGGCATTATACAGTAGCATGCAGTGCGCTTGTATCTCCTCCCGATGAGGATAAGTGTATTTGTTTTACGGTGATATACTGCCACTAAGCGGTGATTGTCGGGAAATAGGCTTGAAATTGATCTGCTAGTCTCACTGACATCATAGACAGTTCTAATGAAAAACGTAGTAACCATTTAAGTTTAAACGTTTATATATTTCACTACAATTTACAGAGATTAATTGTTTAGATATCACATTGTAAATGTTGTATAATTTGTATTAGAATAGGTTATGTATAGACTAGCCAAGCCTTGCATTTGTTTTTTTCAGCTGTAATTTGGCAACCCATGCGGAAAGACATGTAACCAAAGAACCTGGACATTTTATCACCTTTATCTAGGCGTTAGCGCGGTAATGTGACAGGTTTTGGCGGAGAAAAGCAGAGTCGAGGCGCGTTACTGCGCCGCTCGCCGCGGGAATCAAACATCAACCGCTCGAGACGAGAGACTCGAGGCCGAAGTAGAATGAGTTAGGAGGGGCTCGAGGTTGGCTCCTCCCCCTCGCGCTTTTTAGCCCTTGACGTATGAAGAGGACGGTAGCAACAGTTGCCTCGAGACCCCCGCTCGCCATAGTGACTGTAGTCGTGGAGACAGTTACTTACCAACGGGAGCAACACTCAGCAACAGCGGCAGCAGCAGCAACTGGAGGAGAGAGAGAGGGAAAAGAACAGTAAAGCCAGGGCAGATCTAAGCAAAAGTCTGAGGTGAATATCTTTTTACTGCCTAGAGAGATCGAAATGAATTGAATGTAAATTTAACGGACCCTGGACGTTGAGTAATGTACATCTCGATGTGTTTTCACGCCCTGATCTCCTTCGCTGTCTATTAGAGTCACATTAGCACGCTAGTTGGTTAGCTCATCTGCTTTGCCAACTTCAGTCAGTTTGTTTGGAGATCGGTTAAACTAATAGCGGAGAAATCCAAGTGAGCTGTTTGTACTCTGAATGCCATACATGTGGGTTATTACGTCTGTAAGATTAATATGCTTTATATACGGGTAGTTCACGAGCTAACCGGCTAACCAATTACCCAACTAGGTAAACTTTCTTTAAAAGCTGGAAGTGTTTTAATAACAGCTAGATCTGTTACTGGAGCAACTTAACCGCTTTGTTCCGCCGTTGCTTTTCTTCAAGAATCGCTTAAATTCTCGTAGAAGTGCGTGAGTTGATTCGAAGAGACTGACGTGGACCTGCCTGGTTCCGTGTGATGAACGAGTCCAGGTTAAATGTCTTTAGTTTGAACAGAAACCTCGCAAAAATGATACATGCCGTTTTTTTTTAGACCTGTCATGTTCCTCTGGGGCTTGAAGCTTCAGGTTCGGACGCATCAACAGGTTGCTAAAGTCAGGATAGCGGTGCCCGATAAAAGTGATGCATTTCTGATTATACGAGCGTCATTGGCAATATTTTTTACTTTACAAAGTATTCAAGTGTTCTGTTTATTTAGATAATTGAATGCAAACATATTTACGTAATTTTGAAGGGAAATGTCATCGTTCAAATCGTATTCTCTTACCTGAGCTAAAATGTTTTGCAGGCTGTTGAAAAAGGGTCAATGACGTTATTTGTCATTAAAGTGAAGTAGTTTTTTTTATTACTAATATTTAAAAACTTTTGTCCACTAAATCAACCCACTTTTGACCACACAATTAGTGTGGTTACTAGGGTAGTCAGCGTGTAGGAAGTCATTTTATTGTGTTGTCATGACTCATGAGACAAGAAAATCATAAATCATAGAGGACCCCTTTAGACCCTTATGACCTTTACAAAGATCATTACATTAAAAAAAAAAACATTTCGTCCAGGCAAAAGCATAGGTTCGATCAAATACAGTAACACTATGAAAACCCTTTGATGTTCATGCAAATTCATGATATTTGTTTTTAAAAAAAACATAATTTTTTTTTTACCATAAAAATATGTTTGAAAAATTCATCTTTATTTTATTCGGGGTGCAAAAAGGATTTTTAAAAGGGGGTTTTAATTGCATTTACTTGACATGTTTGAAGTCTTTCACATAAAAAAAAAAAAAAAAAAAAAAAAAAAAAAATGCTATTAATGAATTAATTAATTTATTTTTAAATTTATGAAACTAAAATTAATACAAAATTTAATTTGGCAAAGTTTTTCAACATCTCATTTTTAATTTATTTCAATTTATTTTCCTTTTTTATAATGTTGGACATTGCCATTGACCTAAAAACCAATCTGCAGATATTAAACAGCATACATTTATATAAACAATAATATAAACTAATAATAATAAAATAGTTTCTATTCTATATCTTTATTTCCCATGTTTTATTCACATTGTGATATTAAAAAAAATCACAGTTTTAATTGCCATTTGCAAGTATATTCAAAATTTGTCTGAAACCTCAAATTCAAAACTTTTATTGATTTTAGGAATAGTAGATATGCATATTTTTCCCACCTTTCTAAACTTTGTTGTAACTAAGTAGAGCTGTGTCAGTGATTTGAAATGCCACACTGTAGTAATTGTGAGCAAATGAGATAGCCTATGTATTTGCATTGTCGTCGTAATGAGATCAGGGCTGCCTGATGCTAACAGTTTGACAACAGCTTGACTGTGCTCATCCGAAGCTGCAGTCATTTTTCTGGAGTTGCATCGTGTCGCCGTGGCGATGTTACACCTGCTCAGCAGAGAGCCTGGTAATGAGCCCTCTTCATGACAATAGCGTGTGGTCCAGGTGTCGCCCCTTATTGGGCCGTGCTTCTCTATTGATCTCTCTTTAGCTGAGAGTGTCAGTGCCACTGAAAGCGCAGCTGATAATGAGGTTAATTGGCATAGAGAGAGAGGCAGATCCTGATGCAACACACAAATCATGTTGGCCGACCCGTTCTTCACTATCTATAACACCATGCTTGGATAGTTTCGATTATTTCACCCTTTCTGCAGCACCGGTTCAAGGATGTTTGAGATGAAGCGTTTTTGCCTGTCAGAGTGGGAGTGGGTTTGTCGCTGTGTGTGACGGGTCCCTCCTGAGCTCAGCTGAAGCTGCCACTGTCAGGTGCTTCACTGAGCTCTGAAATCCTCCTCAAACGCATCTTCACCACGCAACATCTCCAAAGGCCTATAAGATCTGGTTTCTGTAATGAAATATGTTGTTACAGGTGCATTTTCAGGCTGGAGGAGAAATGAATGATTCATGTAATTGAAGTTAATTATTGATGAGGCCAGTCGCTGTTTCCTGGGCAGTGTGATGTCCAGTTAGCTAGTTTTTGTGAGGTTTGGCTTGCACACTAAGCTCCCTTTAGCTCAGACCTCCCCGTGTTTGAGTCTAGGACGGTACACTACACTCTGCTCTCGACATGACTGACTCCACACCAATTATAATCAAAGAATTTCAGTGTTTAAATGTAAATTTGCATAGCCTTCTTTTGCATATTCTTTAACCCAGTGGGCAAACTTGGATGCAACCAAGGGCCCTGAGCACTAGGGGGCCCCGGTAACAGGAGGTGTTTAATTCCTGTGCCTCCAAAAAAAAAAAAAAAAAATGATGATTTCCATACAGGTTTCCCAGTCACTCCTTTTGCCGTCCACCTGATATTTTTCAGGTAAACAAGTTTCCCGACCCAAACTAATTCATTGGTTCAGCCATACACTACAATTCAAAAGTATGGGTCAATAAGATTTTTGAAAAATAAATAAATACTATTATTCGACAAGATCGCATTACATTGATAAAAAATATAAGACAATGTTACACAATATTTCTGTGTCAAATAAATGTTGTTCTTTTGAACTTTCTCTTCATCAAAAAATCCTGGGGAAAAAAACGGTTTCCACAAAAATTTAAGCAGCGAAACTATTTTAAACATTGATAATAAGAAGAAATGTTTCTTGAGCAGCAAATCAGAATAATAGAATGATTTCTGAAGGATCATGTGACTCTGAAGACTGGAGTAATGGGTGATGAAAATTCAGCTTTGCCATCACAGGAATAAATTACTTAATAAAAAATATTAAAATAGAAAACGCCAAACCCCAAACTTTTGAATGCAGTGTAAGTTGACATCATTAAACCTTCAGTTGATGCAAACTGACTTTTTGATGGCTTCATTGCACATATTATTTGAGATCTGTGCTTTCTAGAAGAGCAGGAATAAGGCATTTTGATAGTGTGTGTGAGTGACATTTAATTTATTTTAGATCACTGCTTAACTGTTTCTATGGTAGTAATGTGAATGCATGATAAATTTAACCTCACTAAAATGGACCATTTGTTCATGCAATCTTGCTTTGTGTAGCTATATATTATTGTGTAGCTCTATATTATGTGCTTTCAAGGCTTCACATATTTATTATGTAATAGCAAAAACTGGCATTTTTGTCATTTGTAAGTCTACTGTGTCTTTTGACTGCTCTTTCATCACAGCTTGTATGGTTTAACTGTTGAAAAAGACAAGTAGGTGAATTTTAAAAGATTAGCTCTTCGTTGTTCTCTTCGTCACGTGATGTAATTAATATTAAGTCAAACGCGGGGCGGTTTGACTGTGCAAAATCAAAATCTTATCATGCTGAAATCAATATTTGGCAAAGTTTCACCTTAAAATTCCACAGATGTGTAGGTAATTATATATTCGTTAGATTTGTAATGCACACGTGAGGAACAGATTAGCTCTAAACCTGTGGGCAAATTCAAAACCATTTGTTCGCTTGTTTTGACAAAGCCCCGTAATGCAGTGTAGTCCAAATCAAGCTTTTAATTTTGTTACACACCCACCACAAAGAAAAATAAAGGAATGGGAATGGAATTCCGTGCAACCCAGATCCAAGCAGCTGTTATGTTTACATGGCAACTTGATACACAAATACAGCCAGGGTTATGGAAAGAGAGGAGCTGGGCCGGGGGTGCTGTGTTATTCTTTCAAAAGTCAGTGGTTTTTAATCAGCTCTCTTCAATCTCTGTTTGTGGTGATGGACGTGCACACCATCTCGGTTTGCAAAGCAGGTTATATAGCGAAAGGAGAACAAAGAGGAAATGCTGGTACAGTATGGTACCATATTTAGCCAGGTGAGGTGACTCACAAATGCCATGATTTTACACTTCCGCTTCCTTTTGAAGTGGCAGTACTGTTCTGGCTGGTGTTTGTGAACTATAGTTTATCACCTATAGACGATCTCTAAGAAATAACCTGTATGACTGACCACCTTCTGTGAAGCACAAAAAAATATATTTAGAAAATTGTCTCATTTCATTGTATGGACAAAAATGTTTGAAACATTCTTCAAAATATCTTCTTTTATGCTCCACAGAAGAAAAATGTAAGAAGTAAATGATGACAGAATTTCCATTTTTGGGTGAACTAGCCTATCCCTTTAAATCATTCAAGGAAAGCAGAACAGGAAGTGATAGGAACATTTACATAACAGGAAGTGATAGGGGTGATGATTATACCTAAATCTGTACATGCAAGTGCAATGAATCACCTCATTAGGTCACGTTCATCTATCAGTGCCCATGTTTGCGTCCTGTTCCCAGGTCAGAGTTCATCTCCAGTCATCTGCCATCATGGAGACTTTATGATTGTTGTAGCAGAGTCTACTGTAACCTTAAACCACGCTGAGCTTTTAATGGACTATAGTAGAGCGCAGCTCTCAAGGAGACAGCTGCAGCGGTCCGTTTTGAAAAGTATTTGTACGTGTGCACTGTGCACCGATGCACCATGGGGGGGAAGGG